CTAACACATCTAGCTCCAGGTTTGTTGGTCAATGAGAGGTCCAGGTCTGGGGCTGGGACCTGCTTCTCTGCACAGTCTTCTCCCATCTTACTGAGCTTGGGGACAGCAGAAGAGGTTCTAGAGAGAGGGGATGGCTGCTCTGCCTTTTCCAGTGGGGTTGGTCAGTGGCCCTTCAGGAACAGCGTCCTGTACAGAGCCGGCTACTGTGGCAGGCTGCAGGTTCTGAGGCTACTTTCATCAGCCCGAGGCTCGTGTAGAGATGGAGTGAAGCAGGGGAGTAGGAAGGGACAAGGGAAGAGGAAGCATGGAAGGCGAGGTAGAATCAGAGTCCTGAAAGCTTGGCAGCTGACGCTAGTGTTTGGCTCACTGGGAACAGGCGACAGTTTGGACCCTGAATGAGGCTCGTTTCCTTTGACGGTAATCCTTGATGTCTGATACTACCATTGTCAACATTTTGAAGATGGAGATAGTAGTAGCTTCCCTGTGGGGCCTGGCTTCTACCCAGAAACCTTCAGGCTAGCCTACCTCTGGGATGGACAGTTGTTGACCTCAGTGTTTAGCTCCCTGTTGAGTAGGTTAGAGGTGTAGGAACTAGACAGTCCTTGGGCGAAGTTTGGGAGCATGAAGGGCCTCGGCACTTACAGACAACTTAGTGTCTTCAGAGCATGGAACATCTTTGGCTTGTTTGGGTTCCAGTACAGGTGCAGGACAGGACCGTGACTCCTCTTGCCCTTTCATGTACTAGGGAATCAAAGGCCAAGGAAGCTAAACAGTTATAGTCCAGAGGCCACATCAGAGGCTAGGCTTTGACTGAAGTCCTGAAATGGGGTTTGCAAACATTTGGAGAAATGCAGGGCCACTGAGAAGGGAGCTGTTAGGAAGGGAGTGGGCTTGGGGAGATTGAAAGATATGGTGATACAGTTATGTAATTCCAGCTACTTGGGAGGATAATGCAGGAAGATCCCAAGTTTAAGGTCGGCCTAGGCTACAGACCAAGTACAAGGCCAGCCTGGGCACTTTTGTGCGACTGTCTCAGAATAAAAGATAGAAAGAAGACTCAAAATGTATCTCAGAGCATTTGCCTGGCATACATGAGGGCCAATACCCAGTAACTATAAATAAAAGAATAGAGGGGAAAGGGAAGAGATCTGAGGGCCACTGGACCCTTTAATTTATGGTGTTTGAGCTGAGTTGAATGTCTAGGAGCACCCAATGTGAGGGCGTCTGGCCTGAGGCAGGCCATAGAAATGCATGTGGGCATCATTACTTAGGGTGGTAGGTTTTCATGAAATGGCCATGAAATGCACAGAAGCTATGCACTTATCTGGAGCCTCGGCCTCAAGCTGCAAAACAGGGAGAATCCCCTTTGTGGCAACGATAGAGTTCAGGATAGCCTGGGTAATGTATATGGGAGGGTCTGGGATTGGAAACAAGGTGGGCATCATTAGTATTGGTCATGGGGGTGTGCTGAACACAGCCTCTTTAATCAGTGTTGCTTCACTTTAACCTTTGTGGCTAAAGTTCACAGACAAAAAAAAAAAAAAAAAAAAAAAAAAGGGCAGGGTGGACTTTTGAAATCTTCCTCCCAAAGTCCCTTGCAGAACAGATTGGGAAATTGAAGTTTAGTCATGAAAATGAGGTATAGAAGATAGATCCTAGATCCTAGGAAGCTTGGCCCTGCCTTCAACCCACCAGAGTGTTATTGAATGTCACAAAACACCCTCCGGCTCCAGCCTGTCATTATCCAGGCATTTTTGTAACAAACTGCCTCAGCTGGTACCGTCCAGGATCCCTAGTAGAGCTGAGAATAACTCGGTCAAATGGGGGTGGGGCTGTCATTGTCACCCATTACCGACAAATCTTTGTACAGGGGTCAGATTCAAGGTGTGCAGTCCTGAACCTGGAGAGGTGGACATGACCTCTTTCTGTGTCACTCTCTGCTCTCTTTCTCTCTGACATCTGAGTGCATATGTGTACGCGTGTACGCGTGCACGCGGGTGCGCAGTGTGCTTACACACACAGAGAGAAACATATTTTTTAAAAAACCTAATGAATAGGGAGTCTCTGCCACTGTCTCTTCCTCTGCCACTGTGTTTCAGCCAGAGGCCTCTGGCCTCCTTTGTGTTCCCTGGGGAGCATAGCTATGTCACCAGAGCTGCAGTTACCCTGAGTTTACCTCTGCTGATCTCTGTACCCAGCAACTTTAAGGGAGACGGTGAGCAAAGAGGCAATGGAAGGACACGGGGTCCAACTGAGCCTAAGAACTAACTCTCTTTCTAAGTGGCCATGAAAAAGCAAATTGCAGAAATGAACCCCATGGACAAGGACAATGCTCTCCTGGGAAAAGGGTCTTGATGAGAAAACACACAAATAAGATACTTTCAAATATTGCTCAGAACTGGAAGGCAAGAAACAACACAGGCCTGGGAAGGTAGACTGACATAAATTGGGCTTCAGGGAAAGTCTATCTAGATAGCTGACACAGTACCTTACCCTGGAACAAGAAGGAGCCAGCTAGGCAAAGATCTCCTGAGCCTGTGCAAAGGATCACCGGGTGCAAAGGTCCTGAGGCTAGAGTCCACGTGCCTTCTGAGGCTTTTGATCAATACAGTTGGGGTTGTTTCATTAAGACAAAGTTAAGTAAATCACTTTCAGTCTCCTGTGACTTCCATCACTACCTCCAAGTCCTCCTCATTCAAGTTAACTCCCATTCATTATGAATTATTTCTTTCAGGAAATTCTTCAGGTTCTAGTGGTTTATATTAAAAAAAAAAAACTACCTGTGATTCAGTAACAAAAATAAAACTGAGGGTTTGGGGGGACAGCTCAGCTGGTAAATAAAACTGAGGGATTGGGAGGACAGCTCAGCTAGTAAAAGCATCTGCAGGAGTTTGGATCCCCAGTACCCACATTTAAAACACATTTTTCTTCTGCTATGTTTTGAGATAGGGTCTCACTATGTAGCTGTAGGTGTCCTGGAACCCATTTTATAGACCAGGGTGGCCTTGAATTCACAGAATGAGTGCTGGGATTAAAGGCGTGTGCCAGCACATCTGACCTAAGGGGTGCACACCTTTAACTATAGCACTGGGGAGTGAGCACAGGAAGACCCCTGCAGCTGGCTGGCTAGCCAGTCTAGCTGAACCTATCAGCTCCAGGTTCAGTGAGAGGCCATGCCTCACAAAGGAAAAAGAAACAAACAAACAAAGATAGAGGGCCCACAGGAGATTCTCAGTGGGTGAAAGATCTTTGCTGCCAAGCCTGAGGACCTAAATTTGATCCCTGGAATTCACATGGTAGGAGAGAATTTGACTCTTGTGGTTTGTCCTCTAACCCCACACTCCAGCCGTGACACATGTGTAGACATCAATAAATAAATAAATAAATAAAAATAAAGTGGAAAGTGACTGAAGATATCTGACCTCCAGATGCACTTGCCCACAAACACCCCAGGAGCTCACACACAAGCAAATAGTCAATAAACAGTGTAGCTACAAAGTGGCTGTGTTTTCTTTCCCCAGGTATGCGAGTTACGGTGTTACTCTTTTGAAACTTCTATGCTGTCGATACAACTTTACATAAAGTACAGATTAGGGGAGAGTAATTAGTGTTAGGAATGTACCAAAATACGCGTGCAAATTCTCCATATTTGGGGAAACGTTTCACCAGTCTGTGCAACCCTGGCTTGTCCTGGGGTCCTGAAGATCCTGACACCATTCATTCCTACCTTTGCTCTCAGATGTCCTTGGAATTTCCATTCCCTCCCATGTTACGGGAGTCTGCCTGGCTGCTCAGCTGAGAACAGATAACCAAAAGATGTGAACTGAATAAATAAGACTGTGGTCTGTGACTCACCTGAAATGAACCCTGAGGCAACAAAACTGGAAGCGGTCTGACGAAGGTTAAGAAATGGTTGAAGAAAAAGATTGCCGATAACAGAGCCAAGAGCCTAGACTCTCTCTAACCAGAGGCCCCACCCACTCACTGTCAGCCTCTTCTGAGCCTCACTTCTTACCCGTGAAATGGGCCACTCAGGCTTTATCCTGAGATTCTCCGGGAGAATGGAAAGGCGTTTGCGGTGTGGACAGTATGGACAGTGCTATTAGGTTCCTGTCCCTGGCTTGCATACAGACTACAGCCTACCTCAGCAGAAAAGTACTTTCAGTTCCCTGCTCCTCCTACAAGCCGGGGCAGGGGAACTTTGGGTCTCAGGCTCTGAAGCCAAGAGCGGGAGGGCCTGTCGCCTAGGGGTGCTCAAAGAGTTCAGTGAACACAAGACTGTACGCAGGTCCCTCCCCCTCTAAACCTAATCTTGCCTCTGTATAGTAGGCACATCTCAGGCTTTCCTTCCTGGTAACTCTGACACCTACATCTACTTTTCTAGAAGAGCCTAGGAGTCACATTTAGGGAAGGTGAGTAGGAGGGAAGAGACTTTGACTAAAAGGTTAGCGCACATTTTTGGTTCCCACTTCCGAATCTTCCAGAAGGTCTTTTATTTTTTGCCTACTTAATAATAACATTAAAAAAAAAAAAAGCCATGTCACTTTTTTTTTTTTAATTTTAAGTCTTTATGTTAAGCCGCCCACTCCAGCCATCCCAGGACACGGGGAAGAGGGGGCGCGGACGGGTGAAGCGCGCGGGAAAGACGGGGGTGTGTGAGTGGGGCGCTCGGCGAGGCCCGCGCTGCGCGCCCCGGCGGGGACGGAGGAGGTCGTGGACCCTGGGCGCTCGCTCTCAGGACCTGGTGAAGCTTCGGAGTCTCCTGGACGGCCTCGTGCCCTCTGGGCGCCTCCTGCTCCCCCACCCACAGGACGAGGGCGGCTCCCCGGCGTGCTGATGTAATCCGGGCGCCTGGGCGGAAGGATATGGAACGCGGCGCGGGCCGGCGGGGCGCTGAGGCCGTTGCCAGGTAACGAAGCGGAGCCGCTGCCGCGCGCCGCCTCCCGCCCTCCGCCGCCTGGCGCTGGGGCCGCCGCCGCTTTACGTAAGGCGCAGGCCAGGGCCGCCCGGCGCTCGGCAGCCGCCTGCAGCCCTCGGAGCGCAAGGAGAGGCGCCCACCCGGTAGCCTTGGCAAGGTAGGCGGAGGCCGGGAGCGGGGCCGAGGCGGGCGAGCTGTCCGAGGGATGTCCGGCCCGAGGACCCAGTGGGAGGCGTGCGATGAGTGCGCACAATGGGCCGCGGCGGGTTGAGGCGGCCCGGCCTGAGGGACAGCGGCCGAGCCTCGCCCGGCGCCCTCAGCTTTGTCCTTCGGCTGCCCAGGGGCGGGCGCGGCGCAGTGAGTGGCGGGCGCGCGGGCCTATGGCGCGGGGTTGGCAGAGGTGACGGCCGAGGGCAGAAGTGACAGGCCCCGGAGTCGCCGGCCTGTGCGCGCAGCCGCCCGGACCCTCGCGGCCGGGCTTCCGGCCGGCGTCCCCCCTCCCCCCCCAGCTCCCGGCGTAATCTGGCTGTCTAAGCGCTCTTGCCAGAGGCCAGGGTAGGACGAGCTCTGGGGAGCAGACCCCCGAACCTGGCAGCCCCTCCCTTCAGGGTTTGCCCTTCTGTAGACAAATCTTCAAGGTTTAACCAGGAAAAGTGGGATGGAGATAAGGTGGGGAGGGGGCCAAGCGACTCTGGAGTCATTTACTAAATGGGGTTCTTGGTTCTCATCAACTGCATCGCAGACTTTGCCTCGTTGCCCAGGTCACTGACAATGCATTTTACATTTCTGGGTCTTGGCTTGCTAAGGAAACGGTAGGAGAGGATTGCCGAGGAGCTGGGGACGAGCAGTTTGGATAACAGGTGATGATGCCTTGGAAAAGGCTATACAGTGAAAACCCCACGTGAGATTCCTGCCATCAGTACAGGACCCGTTGCACGACACTTTTAGGTTTTAGAGATTTCAGGTTTAATGGAAGGGAAATATATATATATATATATATATATATATATATATATATATATATATATACCTTCACTCTGCGTTCTGAAGGTCAAATATTCGCCCGCAGATATTTTGGGCTCAACCATTCTTAACTAGGTCTCAGGATCTTTAGGAAAAAAAAACATTCTGGAACTGTGCCTTTGAAATGCCAATGGAGGCTCCTTGCATTAATTCTTACCATCATAGATTCAATTGCTGTTCTTGCCAAATTATGAACTTTAAAAATGTAGTCTCTCATAAGTTCATGCATCTATGTAATACACTTTTATCGTATTTCCCCACTATCTTATGTTCAAATGTTGAATTGTAATCATGTATGTATTCGTTTGTGTATTTGGGGGCATGTATGTTTGTGTGTAGGTGTTGAGGTCAGTGATCAGTATCAGGTGTTATTTTTTCAATTGTTTTTTTAAGATTTATTTATTTTTATTTATTTAATGTGCATTGGTGTTTTGCCTGAATGTTTGTGTGAGGGTGTCAGATCCCCTGGAACTGGAGTTACAGACAGTTGTGAGCTGCCATGTGGGTTCTGGGAATTGAACCCAGGTCCTCTGGAAGAGAGCAGTCAGTGCTCTTAAAAGCTCTTAACAGCTGAATTTTTCCAGCCTTCAGGTGGGTTTTTTTTTTTTGTTGTTGTTTTGTTTTGTTTTGTGTTTTGTTTTTGAGACAGAGTTTCACCAGGTAGACCAGGCTGGCCAAGAACTCTAGAGATACACCTGCCTTTGACTTTGAAATGCTGGGATTAAATGAAATGAAATGCATCTGCCATCAGCCTTTAGTTCCGCCTTAATTTTTGAGACAGGGTCTCTCGCTGAACCAGGAGCTCACCAATTCAGCTAGATTGGCTGGCCAGCAAGCTCCAGGGATCCTCCCATCTCAGCCTTCCCAGCGCTGGGTTTCCGAGAACCTGGAATCTGAACTTAGGGCCTTGAGCTTGTGTGGCAAGCCCTTTCTTGGCTCAGCCAGCCACAAATGTTTAATCACTTAAAAAGTAGTGTTGGGGGTGTATCCCAGGTGAAGCTAAGGATTACATTTTCAGAACCTAAAATAAAATAGGGCTTCAAGTTGAGTGTAACTGTTTCTTTCTTTTCTTTTTTTTTTTGTTTGTTTGTTTTTGTTTTGCTTTGTTTTGTTGTTGTTGTTGTTTTTCTCTGTGTAGTCTTGGCTGTCCCAGACTCGATTTGTAGACCAGGCTGGCCTTGAATTTAGAGATCCACCTGCCTCTTGCTTTCCAAGTGCTCAGATTACAGGCGTGTGCCACGGCACCTGACTAATGTAACTGGTTTTTCATGAGCTTATTTTCACTAAGAAAAGTGCCACCTTGGCCAGTGAAATATCAAGAGGAGAGTTTTACTCTTACTTACTGTCATGGAGATACATGTATTGTTCTTTGAATATACATGGATACGTATTTTTAATGGCACCATAATAATGCAAGTCTATCTAAAGGATGAGCCGTTTATTTGATATACAAATTATAAACATTAAAAAAAAAATAAAAAGAAACTTAAATAGGGGTTTAGCTTGATCCCAGCAGCCGTGTAGCTCCTTCTGTTCCTGATTTTATCCTGGTGCTCTTTAAAAGTGGTGAACTTGCTATTCCTCATTTGTGTGGAAATGCACCAAGCCTGAGCTTTGCCCCGTGTTTGTATCATTTGACTCGGAACAGTCTTGTCATCTGTGAAATGGGAAGAATGGTGATACCTGTCTTGCAGGATGAGTGGGCAGAGAGGGATGACGTGAAGCAGTTTCGTCCACACTCAGGCTCTTAAAGTGCTGGGTTAGTACTGATAATTGAAGTCCTCGGCTTCCGATGCTGGCTGAAAGCAGTCAGTGGACTTCAGGCCACTGTTGCTCCCTCTCTGCTTCGCCTGGCTTCCAGCCCCCTCGCTTCTACTTTCTCTAGTTTTAAAAAGTTCTTGTAAGATACCGTTTCCTCTCTGGAGCCTTTGGAAGTCCTTCAGAATGAATTCCTCCTTGCTGTAAGCCTTGTCTTCTATTTCTCCTTCTATTATTGCTCACATGTTCTATAAGTGATTGCATTAAACTCTGGCTGTGGTTTTCCTGCTCTTGTTTTACCCCTAGTATCTTTCTGGGGGCTTTAAACATATGGAGATGTGCTGATGTTTGCTAAATAAAATCTGTATTCAATTTTAAGCGTATTAATGTTATAAGGAATTTTAATTAAATTTTAACACCAGTTAAGCATTAGAAATGCAGTTTTACCATGTCGAAGGTAGTTACTATTTAAAAGATTTCTTTGCAGTTGTTTTTGGCTTTTCACATAATTATGTCCCAAGTGGAGCTGTCACTCCGCCATCTGTCTCTGAACTGTCAGAGTTTGACTGTACTCTGCCCCATGTAGTGGGTAGCGGAACCAAAGACCAAGCTGAAAAGACTCCCATGCATGGAAGGTAATTCCTCATGGTGGATGTTGCTTTTTTTTTAAATTTTTCTTTTGTGGAAATTAAATATAAAATATTTTAAAAAGTCCAGTGTTCCAATATTGATTTTACATATGTCATATAATTCTGTTTAAATGTTTTGGATATTATAATTATAGTACATTTGACATTAAAAGTATTTGAAATTTGTTTTTGTAAATATATATATAAATATATATTATATATAACATATATATATTATATATTATATATATTATATATAATATTATATAATATATAAATATATATTATATATAAATATATAATGTATTATATATATATATATATATATATATATAATATTTTTGCTTTCAAGAAGACTTACTCACTAACCCATTAGTACTGGGTTGAAAAGACTCCAGTTACATTCTGACCCCTCTTGCTTTCTGGGTTATCATGGGCGAGCTTGTTATATCTCTTGACCTTTCTGTAAAACAAGAAGTCTCATCCTATGTCTTTTGCTTTGTAGTGAGCTGGGTTCTAGGGGTTGAACTCAGGTTTTCCATGCTTGCTTGCCAAGTGCCTTTATCCACTGAGCCATTATAGTGGCCCTGGGGGCTTCTTTTTTGATGACCAGATTTTTTTTTAAAGAAAGGTTTATTTTTATTTACATGTATGTGTATGCATATGCTTTCCTTGGAGGCCAGACGATGGTGTTGGATTTTTTTGGAGTCATTTTACAGGCAGTGTGACCTGCCTGACTTGGGATCTGGGAACTGAACTCCAGTCCTCTGGAAGAACAGTAAGTATACTAAACTGCTGAGCCATCTCTCTAGCCCCAGGTTCAGATTTTTACCAGCTCTGTGTTCATGCTCCTTTCCCTTCTTTTTCCCCCCCTTTTTCTTTTAGTGCTTAGGATTAAACTCAGGGCATCATGTATTCTAGACAAGCACTCTACATTCTGTTCCATCCCAGGCCCCTCTATACACTTTTATCAGTCTTTCTTGGTCTCTCGTCTCCCTGGTTCTCCTGTTCCACCCTTTGAAGCTATCACTGGTCTCTAGGAAAGAGTGCACACTCTCTTCTCTTGACTAAGAGGCAGTGTGGAAAGAGTTAAGAGTGCACTCTAAAAGCATTGCTGCCTGTGCTTATTCTTTCAGTTATGTCTGAAACTGTTATGTCTTTTTGCACTTCGTATGTTAGGCAGCTCCCAGATCGCTTGCCATAAACAACCTCTGGGAGGGAAGCTCTGTTTTTTTGGCTCATGGTTTCTGTCCGAGATTTTAGTCCTTAATGCGGAAGAGCCTGGTAGCTTGGAGATCTCAACCTAATGGAAGCCAGGAAGCAGAGAGACAGATAGGGGCCAGAGATAGGTACCCCAAAGACCTGCCTCCAGTGACCTACTTCTTTCTGCTAAGTCTCGCCTTCTAATGTTTTCAGCACCTTCAATGTAGTAGTGCCCTCAGTTGGAGACCAAATGTTCCAGTGAGTCTGAGGGGTACATTTCAGATCCATAACATTCTACCTCAGGACCCAAAACGTATTTATGATTTACTCTATCTTGAGTCCCCAATGCATTTACATTACATTTTGGCATTGCTCAAAAGTCCCAAGCCCAGAGTTTCTTCTGAGAGTTGAGGCAGTCTCTCAGCTATGAGTCCCTGTAAAATAAAAAAAGAAAATGACACACACAAGGACAAAGAGTAAACATTTCCATTCTAAAAAGAAGAACAAAATAGCCAGTAAGGATTGGAGGGATCAAACCAAGATC